AAATTAATGTAATATTTAAGTTAAATAATTATAAATCGTTATCGCTGCATTAAAAATTTGACCCTTAGCTCTTCTATCGAAATTGTGGTTAGACATAGTTAGCTGAACTGAAGAAGTCAGCCTTAAGAATCAAAATTGTTACGCAAAACTTACTCAAAATTCAGTCGTCCTCCTTTGGTGGCATTCTCAAGCACCGAACTAAGTCCCCCCGCTTGCATGGTGCCCAGCACTCCGACCAATAGCACCGAGCTCAGCATGATGGCACCCTGCACCACATCTGTCCAGACAACCGCCTTGATGCCACCCAACATGGTGTAGACAACGCATATCGAGCAGACCAGAATATTGATCAGATGAATATTTATCCCGGTCACTAAATAAACGGGAATATATGAAAAATATAGCTAGGGTAGCTGCCAGCAGATATACCTTGCGCAAATGCCAGAGAGGGTATGAACATATACACGGGCAGCATGAGGCAAGAGTTTACCAAAAATGTGGCTGTTACCACCTTTCGCATGAGCTTGCCAAACCGCATTTCCAGGTACTGGAATCAAATGTACGAATACATGTACATATATGATATATAGGATAAATGGGAATTGAGATCTCCCTCCTACCTCATAACAGTTGGAGACATTGTTCTCGTAGAAGACAGGCACTACAACGTAGATCAGCACGGGCAAAACTAACGCCATGGAGAACACCATAAAAATGTAGTTGATGCCAAACGAATATGTCTCGGCTGGCACGGACATGATGGCAATGCCAGAGAGTTGACTGAAATATAAATATGTCTATAGGTCATATTTAGCCATATTAAATCCAAGAATGAAACTCACCTGGCCACCAATGAAATGGCTATGGGCAGTGTTTGCATCTTCTTGCTGCCCCGCAGATACTCCTCGGTGGTGTTTTTGGCCTTGGAGAAGAACCCAAAGTAGACGCCAATGGCCAGCGAGGCGCACAGCATAAGCACGAAGACAACATGATCCGTAATCCCAAATGTAAGTGCTGAAGCCATATTTGATATTTGCGAACTACTTGAAATTGGCCGTAGTGCTACACTTGGATGCTGTGCGCACACTTCGGTGCATCTCCTGACATGTGTCGGTTTTAAATGATGTTATTTAATTATCTTATCTGCCTCCCAGATTTATCTACATTTATCTATACAGATATGATAGCTATTGCTGCTTATACCCCATAAAAGAGCTCAAGATTTGAAGAATTTGTAATATATAACAACTTATTTTGCATGTTTATTTTGATGAAATCGCTTTTCTCGAGCAAGTACGAGAGCAGGGCCTGACTAGGAGATACTCTGTAAACAGTAATTGTAGTTGCACATCGACTTTGACCCTGCAAAAAGTATTTGTATATCAAGTTTGTCCCTTGATTTTGTCAATGCTAAGAACTTTTGCATAGCTCTGCATAAAATTTAATAGCTTTAACTTTAGCTTCCAGAAAATACATAATAGTTGAACACATGGTCATACGGAAGAGCGTCTGGATATGATTTCAATCGAATTTGACTTCTTCTCACAAAACGTCTTATCAATCAGAACTTCCTTCTTGTCTTTTACACCCTGAACCCATTGAAAATGGGAAATCAGGGTATAATGGTTTTGTGAAAGGTATGTAACAGGCAGAAGGAATCATCGCAGACCCCATAAAGTATATATATTCTTGATCAGGATGACGAGCTGAGTCGATATAGCCCTGTCCGTCTGTCCGTCCGTCCGTCCGTATGAGCAAAAGGATCTCAGAAGATATAAGAGC